CGGCGGGGGGGGCAACGCTCTGGGGGGGGTTCCGGCGGCGCTCGGCCGCGGGGCTGGGAGGACGGGGCTTTTTTTTGCTGCTTTGGGCAGCAAAAAAGCTAGAGCCGGCCCTGATTATGGCAGGGGAAGAGCAGCAACTACAATTTCACCTGAAGTTGATCAAGCCAAACGGCTACATCAGGAGCAGCAGAATTTATTTCAGTAATGTCTCCTTCATATTTATAAACTGAGCAGTAGGTAGTGATATGTTCAGTGGACTGTCGTGGAAAACAAGTTATTTGTCCCGGGTGTGTGAGAATTTACTGTTGTGAATACCTAGGGTTGCTAGGGGTATGGTTTTCGACTGGAACGGCCGGTCGAAAAGGGACCCTGGCGGCTCCAGTCAGTACTGCTGACCAGGCTATTAAAAGTCCAGTCAGCAGTGCAGTGGGACTAAGGTAGGCTCCCTGCCTGCTCTGGTTCTGCATAGCTCCCTGGAAGCATCCGGCATGTCCAGCCCCTAGGAACAGGAGTAATCAGGGAAGATCCACGTGCTGCCCCCGACGCTGGCTCCACAGCTCCCATTAGCTGGGAACCATGGCCAATGGGGGGTGCCTCTGTGCACAGGCAGTATGTACCGCGCAGAGCCGCGTGGCAGTGCCTCTGCCTAGGGGCCGGACGTGGCAGCTGCTTCCAGGAGCAGCGCAGAGCCAGGGCAGGCAGGGAGCCTGCCTTAGCTCTGCTGTGCCACCAACCGGGAGCCACCTGAGGTAAGCGCCGCCCAGCTGGAGCCTGAACCCCCTGCTCCAGGTGGGAACCGCCTCCTGCACCCAAACACCCTCCCAGACCCCTACACCAGCCCTGAGCATGCTCCCACACTCCAAACCCCTCATCCCTGGCCCCACCCCATAGCCTACACCCCCAGCTGGAGCCTGCACCCCTTCCTGCACCTCAACCTCCTGCTCCAGCCCTGAACCCGCTCCCACACTCCAACCCCCTTGGACTCCAGCCAAGATCCCCCTCCTGCACCCCAAACCCACCCCAGAGCCCGCACCCCCATCCTGCACCCCTGCCCCAGCCTGGAGCTCCCTCCCACGCCCTGAACCCCTCATTTCTGGCCCCACACAGGGCCCTGCATCCCCAGCCGGAGCCCTCACCCCATCCTGCACTTCAACCTCCTGCCCCAGCCCGGTGAAAGTGAATGAGGGTGGGGGAGAGTGAGCGCTGGAGGGAGGGGGGCTGGAGCCTTAGAGAAGGTGTGGGCCCTCAGGGGAAGGGGTGAGGCAAGGGTGTTCTGTTTAGTGCAATTAGAAAGTTGGAAACCCTACAACTACCCCTTTTCCATATGACGATGCTCTCTGGCATGGAGCAATCTGAAATCGACAGCCATGTCAAGTAGGGCAAGCAGGGGTGTGGGCAGGAGTCTTTTGTTTGGTTTCATGCTCTTAATGGTGAGTTGAAGGTAGTGATGGACTCCCAATATTTTTAACAAGGGGCTCTCACAAAAACTCCTCTTATCATTTCTTTCTTAACCTGTTATCTGAAAGCCTTCCTTCTAGCACAATAGCTACCTTTGGCAACTAGCCCCTCCCTTTAAAGTTAATACTTGTGTGCAATGCTCTTACGCAGACACATGTGCATTCCCACTGTTTTGTCCTGTCCTCTATAATGCTAGGGGAAATAATGTCAATTTGGAGTGCCTCAATTTTTGGATACCTAACTAGAGCCATTGAGGGTTTGATATTTCCCCCCCAGGTCATGCTTAACGGTCTCGACTCCAGCTGAAGTCATGGGGAACTCTGCACCTCTGAAAATCAAGCCCAAGGCATCGTAAGTTACACACCAAAAACTGAGGTCACCCTTGAAAATTTGACCTATTGGGTGTCTTCTGACTAGCAGACAGAATCATTCTGTTCTATTTAGATTCGTATTCTATGCCCATCACCCTGGTACCTGGACACCTTCCAGAGAGAGGTTCTTACTCAGTGCTGACTCCAAATCTCAATGTGAATAGAAACTTGCCTCACAGCTGGATAGAAAGGTAACCTCCACATTGGTCCTCTATCCATTTGCAATGCTCATCCTAGACCCAGCTGCTTGAGTTGGCAGCAGCAGCAGCTCCTGACCTTGGCTTATATTGCTTATTAACATAGCCAAATTGGGGGATAATTCTTAAAGGTAAAAGCAGCCGGGCCCTGCTGCATCATCCTAAGCACTATTGACAGCCCCAGCTGGACAGCTGCTGTCTCTGCTTTACAGACTATGCTGGCGGTGTAGCACAACTGCGGGGGTCTCGCAGATCTGTCAGGACATCTCATTTTTAAAACATCGTTTCTGTCCATGAATATTAGCAGCACACTCTCGCTCTCAAGCTGCAGTTCAGTCCCTGGGTTATGGTTCTGTCTGAGCTCTTGTATATGTCCAGCTCGGTGTTGTCCTCTCCATTTCTGGCTTCCATCCAGCACTTGATCCCCCTTTGTTGCTGCTGTTCTTGCTCCGGTTGCATTTTGCTTTGAAAGAAGCAAAATGCTGCTCGTGTACAAGAGAAGAGTGGAATCCACCAGCAGCCACTAGGAGAGGGATGTCCTGGGGAGAAAGAGGAGGAAGCGACTGGACAGTATGTTTGGGAGAGAAGAGAACTATCTAGCAAGGGGAGAGGAGGAGAAGTGGTCCAGGAAGAATAAGTACAGGCAGTAGGGTCAGGGGAACAGAGAAGCGAGAGGGGTGGGGGTGGGAATGAAGAGCAGATGTAACCAATGTGACTTTCTTTTTCTCCCATAAAGAAAATAATCCCCTTATGTGAACAGACATAATATATTAATCCAGAGGTTCTCAAACTGTGGACCATGGACCACTAGTGGTCCGCGAGCTCCATTCAGGTGGTCTGCAGATAGTTCCCTCTAAGGTGCGCGCATGGGCGGCCGCACTCAAGAGAATGAAGGGCCACCCACCTAATTAGTGGAGCCGTGCGGGCGGGGCTCCACTAATTAGATGCCTGGCCCCTGAGAATATGCAATTGTAAGGTGTGGTGGTGGCCTTGGAGGGAATAAGGGGTAGGTGGGAGGGGGCAGTGGGGTGAGAGGAGGGGGTGGGAGGGAATTTGGGACGTGCGGGGCTACAGCGACCAGAGAAAGAGGCAACTTTCCCCAGCTCCAGGGCAGGAGCTGCCAGGGAGAGACCGCCCCCCCTTCCCAGCTTGGGGGGCTGCTGCCAATATGGGGGAGAGGGCACATCCATCACATTAGAAAGGTAAGACTACAGATATTAAAACATGAGTTGTGTGCTTTTATTTGTAGAACAAAAAAAGTTAATTTTTTTTTTATATAGCGCTTTTATCCAAAGCACTTTACAATAGTTAGCTAACGGTACAAGCAACATTTGGGAAGATCATTAAATGGTCCACTGAGACCCTCAGCAATTTTTAAGTGGTCCACGAACAAAGTTTGAGAACCACTGTATTAATCCTCCCCTCACATTGCTGTTCCACGTAAGCCATGGCTGCATCTGCCAGGCCAGTGTGATCATTAATGGGAGAAGGGGTTGTGAATAAGGGAGGGATGCCTGGGAGGATCTCTCTGTGGAGATGCGGTCCATGCCATGGAAAAATTTGAGACCCCCTGTGTTAGGATAACTTGCTCTCCCTCGGGCCAGATGCTCTTCTAGGCCCCAATCTAACTCCCATTGGAGCTGACAAGAGAGGCTTTCCATTGACTCCAACAGGAGTTGGATCAAGCCCTTGGGAAACAGCTTGAGCTGTGTTCAAGCAGGAAGCCAGTGGCTCTGCCCACTACACAAGCACTCTCATTTGGGAGTGAAGAGGGAGAAGAAAAGGATGGTTAATGGAACAAAGGAACAATGGGAAGGAGGAGAGAGACAGCGAACAAAACAGGAGATGCAGATGGAGAAAGTAGCGGAATGATGAAAGCTGGAAGAGGGGCCGGGCCCGGGGGGAGGAGAAACCCTCTGCAGACACATTCATGTGCCAGTGCACATCTGAGTCTGAGGGAGGTACTGACGGTGGCAGTGAAAACTGTCCCCTCTATTATCCCTCCTTGCACAGAGATCGAGCAATTGCAGACAGCAGCCGTGGGCCTTGTCTCATCACATCAGATTTGCTTCCGTGTGCATGAACAAAACTCTTTGGTCTCCATCTTAGTTTTAAAGACTTGGGGACAATGTGGAGTTCATTTTGTTAAGTTTCCCTCCGCATCTGCTTGAAACCTAAATGACTCATCAGTTGTAAGATACCACATGCACCTGCTTAAGATCTTCATTGACTTACAGCAGGGCTGGCTTGGGGTGTATGCCAGCTCAGAATTGTCTCTGAACACCCTCAGGTTTGGTCTGTCAGTATCTTAGCAAGGATGATGGTTCTGCTTTGCCACACTTTTTCTGTGATGAGGAAGGGCACCTCTCTCTACTTCAGTAGAAACTAAACAAATGCAAAGCTGGAGACTGCAGGTCACTTGAGCTGCTCTATAGTCATCTCTCAAAGCAGCAATCTGTTCTGCATTTGGATGTAAACCCTCCTTTATGATAGTTCTAACACTACCTTGGGGCCCAATGAGTTTGCTCTTGTAAATTTCAACACTGATGTGGGTGTAGATGTTGGACCATTGAAAATGTACATACAGGCCTTTGCACCTATCAAGTGCACAGGTTCAAGCAAAGTTCCCCTTGAAAACTTACCCCTCAATGCCTTATGAGGCACTAATTACTAAAGACAATTGGTGTAAGTACATCCCACTCTCACCAATGAAGTCAGTAATGCAGATGACAGTTATGCTGACACAGATGACTAAATTTATGGCCATTAACAAATTCAGCAAATTTACCTCCATTATTCCCCTAAAGCAAAAGCCTCACAATTCATTTGCAATTGATTTCCATAAAAATCGCCTACAAACTAACCTAGTTTCACAATAACACAATTTTTTCAGCTTCAGTGGTTGGAAGTTCACAAAGAAAACATGTTAAACCTAAGGCTGTAGCAGAAAAATAAAGTTCCAGCAAAACAAACCTCTAGGCAATGTTGTAACTATCAATTTATTTTAGAACTTCAAGGGGCTAAGACATAACACAGCATGTTTCTCCATCTGGTAGGTAACATTACAAAAATGCAGACCAATTTGTCTCTAACTTCCCTGGCCTGAAAACATCTCTGAACTGAGAGATGAGGCAGGAAAACTACTGTGTGTCAGAAAAATTATGAATAAGAGTAACGCTTAAAGAGCATTCTCCTGCAGGGCATAGGGAGGCAGATCTTGATGTTCTGCTACTGAGTGAAACTAAGCTAGGTTGACCAGATGTCCCAATATTATTGGGATTGTCCAGATATTAGGGGCTTTGTCTTATATAGACTCTATTACCCCCATAGTCCCCCCGCATCCTGATTTTTCACCCTAAACCAGGGATCAGCAACCTTTGGCATGCAGCCCGCCAGGG